TTCCCCCGGAAAGGCGTACCCCTGGCTGCCACTTGATTCAAATTTGCGCCGACAATGGCGGCAAAACCTCCGCATGGAAAGTGTCCCGTGATGTTATTGCTGCGCTGTTGTGTGGCAGCGCCTTTCCTGGGAGAACTGCGAGGTTTATATATCTTCCACCACTCCATCCCCCCTCCCCTTTATCTCTTCTGCTCGAATATGGAGTGAGTCATGTCCATCACTATGAGTGGAGGACATTTTTCCCCCTCATATATGAAAGCAGAGCCATGGAAAATGCTTCTCGTTTCTGCGGGAAAAGGCTGGACATCAGCCATGTCTTTATTGTACGCGCATGCGGGGGTACTATGAAATTACAAACGTTTGAAAATAGCTATACTCTTGCCAATAGGTTAGAAATTTGAACACTCACAATTGTGACCCAAAATGTATTATGCAAACGTGTGTAATGATTTAGTAATGTCATGCGAGTGCGTGACAACCTGCAGACTATTATCGCGATGTCAGTGGATTTATATTATTGTCACGCTGCTGTTGAGCCCATTGGTCATTGGTGAATCCAAAATAGCGCTGCAAATTTATTTCACAACTATAATACACTTCTTCTTGAAGTCCTAGGGAACAGAGATGCTTTCAACTTTGTTGTAACAGCGTTAATGACGTCACATTGAGTAAGCGGCATGTTTTAGCGGTACACTGTGAGAAATTGTCGTACCGCGTTAAAGAAAATTTTCCTCAGATGTCGACCAGTTGCAATTCAAAGTTATAAATTTACAAGAACTGCGTTTCAACTTGAAAGCAAATGACGAGCGAAAGTATGGGACGTTGTGCATGTACGACATTTTTTTATGATGGTAAATTACAAAATATATCCTACATCCACAAACATTTTTCAGAGTACAAGCTAAGCTGGCAGCATGGTGGTTGGTGCCTCCTTTTTTTTTGTCCTGCGGAAATGCTCACCTCTGTCCTGCGCCGTCATCAGCCCGGTGGAGAGGGTCTGCCTCAGCTTGCTGAGGGTGCCCGAGTCGGACCCGTCCGCGCCGGCCGGCCCCGCCTCCCCCGTCGCCACCATCTGTAACATGTTGCGTCGCCGGGTTAGAGGCAGGCAGAAGGGAGAAAAAAAATGGGGGTATGGTGGAGGGGGACAGAGAGAGAGAGAGAAACAAACGGCACACTGACTGTACAAAACGAAAATGTCGGAAAAGTCAGGGTGAGCAGCAGACGGCGGCGGCGGGTCGCGTAGAAAAAAGAAGCTGCATCGACTCAGCATAGAGAAGGGGGAGGAGGAGGAGAAGGAGGAAAGGGAGGAGAGAGAGGAGGAAGAATACCACTGAAAGAGGAGCGGAACAGGAAGTGGGAGAGGAAGGAGATGGGGAGAGCAGATCTGCGCGCGCGCTGAGCACGTGACGGCTCGCGGCGCTGCATGACGGTTCTCATCTGCCGCTGCCGCTGCTGTTTCCTTCCCCCGCGATATCCATCCCCGGAGCAACACGCCTCTCTGAAAAAGGACTCTGGCGGCTTCATTAACGGGTGCGCGCCGCTCGCTTTGTCTGCGGACAGGATGGCTGCGGAATCCCTCTCCCCTCCCCCCCTCT